TGCTATCGAATTATTACGAGACGAGTTCGAATGGACCAGCGCTACAACTCAAACGCGCAGACCTTGGAGAAACAGGGAAGGTGATGACGCTGGGGTCGGTCACCACCGGCAATTCGATGCGTGATTGGATGGACTCGCCGGGTTCCTGCAGCAGTCCCCACCGACTTCGGGCTGGCCCACCTTGCTCTTTGTGCTCTCCTGTTTGCATCAACACCAACGTGTTATCACCACTGACCTCAATTCCACTGGAAATACATCATCCCGATATCGTTTGCATTTAACTTGTGCACATCGTCATACACCCTGCCTTCCCTGCCAACGCAAGTCACATGCGAGATGGTGAGCCCCCGGAATCGCCGGATTGTTCGTGAGGAGTCCGAGAGCGAGAAGGAAAGTGTTGGAGCTCCCCAAATATCTCCTCGCAAACGACCGCTAGTCGTGGACGACTCCGATTCGGGATCTGACGATGTTTCGCCCACAACAACACACAAAAGAGTGCGTCGTGTGGTCCTGGACGACGACGACGATGAAGAAGACAACGAGAGCGATCCGTCCAATCTTCCAGCTACATCTCAGCCATCAGAGAAGGGCAGAGATCACGAGTTACTTTTGAGCAGCATTGCAGCAAGCCAGAAAGCATCCCCATCTCAGCTACCGACTCTACCTGCCGAAGTCCTTTTGACCGTCCTTGACAACGCCGACCCAGCGGACATCTTGGACCACCGGCTCGTATGCAAAGCCTTCAAAGAAGTGATTGACACGTCTGTGCTTTATTATCACATCCAACGTGTGGAGTTGATCGGCTATCTCGGACCGAAAGAAGGTGAACTCATGGAGCAACTCAATGCGCAAGATTACTGGGACTTGGCATTTGTCCACGCGACTTTCGAACGTCTAGACGAGCGCGTGGGCAACCAAGCCGTATGGGATCCACAAAATGCGTACTTTCGCATCAAGGAGTCCTGGTATGACACATTTGTCCGCAGTGTCGGCGAGATTGAACCCGACAATCCGTGGTGGCACCATACCGTACGATGTCTTGATTTACGAAAGCCATCTTCAGTGCACGGGCAGCTACGTTGGTGTGTCAAAGTAGGCCCAACGGTTGTGGATTTTCGCATGGCAGACGAGAAAGACGTGGATATTGAACTGGTGGAGCGCGAAGACGAAGACACCATCATTGTCCGGGTTACGAATTGGAAGCGTATGCTGAAGAATGTCTTTCGAGAAGAACGAGCTCTGAACCTGTTACTCAAAGACACCGAAGAAGACGAATTTACATACAGCCATCTAGAGGACGGCCTTCGAGACATGCGACGTAAGCGCTATCGTTCGAAGTTGAATCCACGTAACAACAAGCACGGTAGAGACATTTGGAAGATGGACAACATGACCCCATTATGGGGCAAATACTCTTCGATGACCGTTATCCGGGACTACGAAGATGTGGAACTTGCCGAGCGCAATGCCGCTCAAACCCTCATGCTCTTGCGAAGAGAAGCTTCAATGTCATCTCGGGAACGAGATGCATTGTACACAATGAAAGAGGAAAGAGCTATAATGCACAGGGAAGTGGCGGAGGTCGACGAGCAATTCAAGAAATGGCAGGAGAGCTTGCTCGGTTTACCAAATCTAAGCCTAGGTCGTATCGAAATCGATCATGACATTGATCCCAACCCGATGACTTGGTCCAAGGAAGTCGTGGATCGCGAGAGCCAGAACCTGATAAGGTGGAAGGCTCAGAAGCAAACCATCGCGCACATTAAAGCCTACCTGGATGCTACGAACGCCGCAGCCACCTTAGCCGAGGACGACTTCGATGACGAAGACGAAGACTTCTGAGCATTCGCCATGCTGTGACACAGCAACCATACCTCTGTCCACGGCCATGCCGCCCTATCGCCCTGCGTCTACGCCTCATACTAGAACCCGTGCAGCTAAGCCTGTTCTGTATAGTCGCATGCATCGACAAAATTGCAGCATAGGTTGTCTGTTGGTGCTGATTGTGTGTTTGCGCCAAGCCGGCTCAAGTGTCCAGGACTCCAGGTGGTGTTCGGCCCCACCTCGACAGCCACCAGGGAGGCCCTTTCCACCACGATGTGCACGGCAATCCTTCCTAGACGTTGCGCGAGCCCCGCGCGATAAGACCTGTTCGCATACCATGTACCATCAAATGGTGCTCTAGCGCATTTCTGGAGGCATATCTTGCCAAGATCGCAAACGCCGGATGAAGCTATGTCGACCGAGGATGGGGCGGAAAGTGCGGGCATCGCAGTAGCTTCTCTATATATAGTGAGGATGCTTGCCAATGATGCGGATCAGGCTCGGAGTATGAACACCGAGAGGTGAATGCAATCTAGAGCTTCTGCATGGTCTTGCCGATCATCTACTACGCTTGCTCCACGAGGCACTCTTGGCCGAACTGCCATGAACATACTGCGCCGCCACCTTGCTTATCGCCAACATCCTCCATTGTTTCCAAGACAATCAGTGCCTAATACAAGGGCCTCGCATGTGGCAAGTAATCTTTGCAGCGTGACTGGCGAATAACAACCAGTACGCCCGCACCACAAAGCTGCATCAATGTGGCGCTATATGAGCTGAACCCCAAACGTGGGCATGGCGGCATAAGCTTACCATTTCTTGAGAGCGGGCTATCTGTGCTTATCATGCTTGGAAGGAGCGGCACTATACAGCGGCTGACCAAAGCGGAAATCCCTTATATATTCATAGATATCTAGGTTACTCAGACCTGAGCATTTCGCCGCATTGTGAAACACTGCAATTAGGGCTCATCTTCGGGTACTACCTGCTTCAGCCTCAGCCTCAGCCTCGCGATGGCGTACCAGCAACTACCCAAATTACAGCACAACGTGGAAGTGACGCCGGTCAACGAGGACTACACTCCGCCTTCGTCCACCCTGCAAAACTATGAAGAGATACGAGACTTCGATTTCAGCCCCACGAGTCCACGTTCGACTGTTAAATCACCTTCTATCAAGAAGCATATAACGCATTGGAGTTCGTCTACCAACAGCACAGCTGTGACGTCGTCGGAGGTATGTAGCACAAAGTCTGACAGCAAGGCTGGCGCGTCCCGTGCGCGGTCTTGGGCTTTCGAGATCATGGCTGTCGCAATCGGGCTGGGTGCTGTCGCCGCCATTGTCGGCGTGGTAGCCAAATACAACGGACACGCATTGCCAGACTGGCCTTACAGCATAACTCTGAACGCTCTCATTGCCCTGTTGGCTACTTTTGCAAACGCTGCAATGTCGGTTTGCCTGTCGAGTGGACTATCGCAGGCGAAATGGATCCGTTTCAAGCAGACATCGGCTCCATTATCTGACATGGAGGCCTTCGATGACGCTAGTCGTGGTTCGTGGGGCTCTATCAAACTGCTGGCGACTGCCAGAGGAGGGTACGTTTCTCAGCTCAGGACATGGTTGACAGATGACTGACGAATGCTTCATCAGATTCCTCGGGTCTTTCGGCGCTATCGTCGCTGTTATAGGTCTCGCCCTTGGGCCTTTCGCACAGCAGATCGCAACTTACAAAATCCGTAACGTGGAAAGCGACTTTGGCGCCATCATGCCTAGAGCCCTCAACTTCACCCCTGCGTTACCGGGTAACACCAGCACGAGTAAGTAGCATTGAGCGCATTTCGATATCATTCGTTGACGTAGGTTTCTAGCGGGTTTCGTGCCAATTCTCCCACTTAAAGCCGCAGTCTACAACGGCTTGTTCGCGGAGAACAATAGACCTGCTGCGTCACTACCATTCAAGTGCCAGAGTGGTACTTGCACCTGGGAACCCTTCGAGACGCTGGCTATTTGCCATGAGTGCACAGACATCACTCCGCTCATGACGCGCTACTGTCCACCTGAATTGGGTGCATCGCCAAACATGTCCTCATGCGGATGGCAAGTACCACAGGGAGCTCATCGTAAGTTTCGCATGTGCAAACTGTAAATTGGCGGGTACTTATTGCTTACACTGTTTTTTTAGTCAACACGAGCTCCGATGTATTCAGTATGACATCCTTCATCCCGTCGGCGTATGGCGACATGCCCCACTCCACGATAATCCGACTCATCTTCATGGGTACAGAGCTTCAAGATACACCCAACGCTCTGAACCCTTGGGCATCACAATGCAGCCTGCAAGCATGTGCAAATACGCTGTCCGCATCGGTCACAAACGGTACGCACCAAGAGAATGTCACGCACTCTGTTCTCAACCACACTGTCATCGACATGAGCTCCCCCGATCCTGCCGCCGACTATGGTGTTTACATCACTGGCAATTCTGATGACACTGCGTACTTGCTCGGCATGGAAGCGCTTTTGAGCATACGCGGATGGTTTAGTGCAATCTTTACCAACGGTTCCGCCACCCGTACGACTAGCGATTTCACCCGAAGTGTCACCGATCCAGACCGCGCCGTAGTTGTCAATCTCACAGTCGGTATCTCATCAGGCGAGACTTTCTTCGACACGGATATTGTCACCGCGTTCTACTGGAACTACTACGAGTACGCCGATGGACTCAATATGCTAATGAGCGACTTGGCCGTATCGATGACAACCGCTTTTCGCGGCTTCAATGGCGCTGTTGATACGAACGGCAAGTCGATAACGGTAGAGTCCTATGTCCACATCCGATGGGGTTTTGCTGTCTTACCGATCGCGGCTGTCGTGGCCACTCTGATCTTCTTGCTCGCGACGATGACGATGACGCATACGTCTGGTACGCAAGTGTGGAAAAGCAGTGCGCTTGTGCCGTTGTTACACGGCTTGGATCATCATACTAAGGAGAGGTTCGGTACTAAAGACAGTTTGCCAGCTCAGAAGAGACAGGCAAGAGCGGTAAAGGTCAAATTGTTTACTGATAATCGGGATAGCACAATGCTTGGAGCAGAGAAGGCTGCATGCTAGTTTGAAAGGCGATGTTGATCATGCTTCGATAGGCAAAGCAACACCTCACTCAATACAATATTTGGGTTATACCCTACTTTCGCGATCAATATCCTTGCTCTTTCCCCCCTCGCTACTGATGTCACTTTCTGTGTCGCTGAGCAATCCATTCCAAGCATCATCATCGACGCTATCCCTATCGTCTTCTCTTCCAACGTCCTTCTCTACCTTGACGTTTACGAACAACATCCATAATCCAATATCGTAGGTGATCCTACAAATACTCGTAGCCACGAAAGCCACCCAGAAGTTATCGCTACCGGAGAGGAAGCCTGTGATTGATGGCCCGACGCTCATGGCTAACGTGCGCAGCATACTAGTGATGCCCATGACACCCGTACGCTCTTCAGGCTTCACGACTGCTGCAATAAAAGCTGTACGCGGTGCTTGATCCATGCTATTGAGGGAAGCTCGGAATAGCAGCAGGCCCACTGTCCAACCGACTTTTGAAGGTAATGGGATGAAGCCGCTGGCGATCGACGATGGGAGGTGGGTGAAGACCATGGTGTTGATGAGACCTATGCGTTTGGCCAATGGTCCGGCGAAGATAGCTCCAACTGCGCAGAGAAACTGCGAAGCCGAGGTAATATCCCCAAGCGTAGACTTTGAGACGTGGAACTTTTGGTCGACGTAGTAGTTCATCAGGGAGTAAGGTGTCATGCCGTCTGCTAGACTGTCAACAGCTAAGAGGATCCAGAGCTTGTACATGACGGATCGTGTACTCTGCGAGATCTGACTAAAGTAGCTTGCTTTCTTTTGCGATGGCGGGTTCCTGACACCCGCTGGTCTTCCTACGTTCTCGCGGTCTTGATCGAAGCCGTCTGTGGTGCTGGGCGTCATCGCCTCCAGTAGCACTTCTTCCTCTTCGCCATGGCCCCCACCACGTCCTCGCTCTTGCATCTCCGCCCGTTTCTCACCTGCAGCCTCGCATCTGCTACTCAAACCCAGACAAAGGATGCTCCCAAGCACTCCGAAGGCTGCATAGCCCCAGAACAGGGCATGGTATGCCTTGGTCACATTACCGCTGCTCTTCTCGAGAGCATTTACCGTTCTCCCTGCGACTTCTGCGCCAATGGCCCCTGCCAATGTTGTCGCTGTGACATACCACGAGAGTACATCGCTTCTTGTTGTCTCGTCTGTTAGGCCACTCAACATGCTCTCCTCGACAGCCCTAAAAGGACCACAGTCAGCACCGGTGACAGAAATGATGCCGAACACCGCCGCAACCAAAAGAATGAAGAAGTTCTCCGACAGCGCAAATGCGACGCCTGAACAAGCCATCATCACACTGCCCATGAACAGAATCCTTCTCCTGCCTATTTTGTCCGCCACGAGAGTGAGCAGCAATGACAGTAGGACATCTCCGAGCAATGTCAATGTCATGAAGACCCCGATCCTCGAATCCGGAAATTTGAGCGAGGAGAAGAAGAGGGCGAGAATCAGCGACGGAATGCCAGCCGTGAACATTCTCAATGATCGCAGTGTGATGATGATGTATGCATCTCGTCCAGTCGCGTTGAGTGATGTGATGCCGAGGAATCCAGCGATCCGCGATATCGCCGTGGGAGTCATGGTGGCAATGTTGGACTGTGCCGCGTGTTGGTTCAGAGAACGCGAGTTGACCTTCCGTAAAAGTGCAAACTCAACGTCGACTGCTTATAGATGTCGAGAAGAAAAGATGAAAAGAAACGGAAAAGCACGGAAAAGATCTCATCCTTCAAAAGACTGGTGACCACCCGCGTTGCTAGTGTGGGCGTTAAACCCGAGACGGGTTTAAGCTTGGAAGCTACATCTTGCCTGACTCACCTGTGGCGCTGCCTGCATACGCGCGACTCCATTAAATTGCGTTCTAGATCATATTTGAGCGACCTTAACGGCGTTACTACCGACGTTCGCTGTGCTGGTTTGGAGATGCTGCGCGGCCGAGGCTGCCCCGCGGTAAAAGTGGGGCCAGGTTTCGTCATCGCCCGGCTCCTGCGCTTTCGAGGGCGCGTCGCGTGCCTTGAACAGCTTCATTACCAGCGCGACACTTTACGTGAACGAGTCTTGAACGATAACTGTAACACTAACAAAAGATCTTATGAATCTACGTGGGCTTGGGTCTTGGTACACGCAATTGAGGGAATGGCTCTATGGCAAGGTTACGTTTCCGTATTGTTGTCGTGAGCAGTTGTTTCTTACGCGATTAGATACTCACCTTCGTCAAGTGAGATGGCATGATGAAGGTGACTAGTAAAGGTGAGAATGTACGGTGACCGCCGAAGGTGAAGGTACAGGTTGAGTATAACAACAGGATATCTGCCGGCACAACGAGACTTTATGGTCGAGCTATTTGAGAGACATTCTGACACACAGGGCTCTCTTCCTATCCTCCACCTAACGATTCCATAGCTACTGCAAATCATAAAGTTTGTCGATTTCGATTTCGGAAACCAGCAACAATACGCCCGATCAGACTACCACAAGCACAACTCGTACCCGACATGTCTTCCAAGAATATCTCCTTCTCAAAAGCATTTGACGAACTTTTACCACTAGAGATCAAACATATGATCTTCAAGTGGGCAGCAAGCGACGGCAGCAGCGATGTAAAGATCAAGCTGTTCCCCAATGACCAAGATCGACTCGATGCACCAGCTGTCGACTTCCTCGCGAAGTTGAAAGATCAGTACTCAGCCGACGCATATCATCAAGCCTTGCAGTATCTTACAGGACCGACTTTTTGGTGGACCTTCGTCAGCGATGCACAGCCACATCGATTCCTCTTCCGTACCTTCCGACGTTTGGTTCCAATGGAAATTCGACAGCGAATCGAGAATGGTTACCTACCTCGGGTCACTGTGAATGGTCTGATGAACCCAAACATCTTATCCGTAAGCCTTGAGAACCTTCGAATGGTGAAGCCAAACTTACCGAGGGACTAGTCTGATTACCTTATACGACTGGGTGCGAGAGCAACCTCTGATCACAACTTGATTCTTATGCAGATCAAGCGGGATGTTGTAGGGGGGATATCATTGCTACCTCTCGTGCTACCTTCGTTGAAGAACCTGTATTTGGGCCTCGGACTCATCGGCTGCTTGCAAACGGAAATGTCACTCGCGGAGTGTCGTCAGCTTAATGTTGCGGGTTTCCCTTACTTGGGATCGCTTACAGATGTATTGGGCGCACTTGCGAACCTCAAAAAGCCTACGAGCCTTGATATTCACGTTATCTGGAATGACTCCCCGGAAAGAGAATAGACGTATGGGAGCGCCTTTGATAAGGATTACGAAGACCGAGGCCGAGACCGCATCATCAAGGCGTTTTGTCTAGCTCTTCCTGCTGCGAAGAGCATAGTCGGTCTTCCGAAGGATCCGCTTGTCTGATTGGTAGCCTCGTCTTTACTAGCCCCATTCATTGGCATGATGGGATGCTGTAGAGATCGATAATGTGCTTCACAGCATTGAAGGGCTTTCTTTTTTCACACGTCACATGTAAAAAGCGGAATGGGTCATTTGGATGGCCGTCTCGGAACGACTTCGCGGACTGCAGGGCGAGATGCGAATGCTTTACTAGCTTGACGACCGAGCCAGGCGGTATGTTCCTCAAGTTTTGGGCCAGCATCCAGTGCCATCTAGAGCACAGTGGATACATCCCCGACGGTTTGCAGTTTCATCCATGTGTAGAGAAGAATGGCAGAGCGGGTATATAGTTGAATTTCGAACATTTGTACCTATCGAATCGTGACGCGATCCGTGATATGCCAAATCGTCCCATCATATGCAAGCCAACGTCCGGTCTGTAACTTCCCCTCAAGTTCAGCTACCCGCTTAGTATCCGTACAAGTTGACACGCTCATTCGTCGACGCCTTAAGCCTCTGGTTCTCCTTGATGAGCATCACGCGAATCGCCCAGGCACAAGCGATCGACAGCAGCGCGAATCCAGCAGATGCACCGAATCCAATTCCGTATCGAGGCTTGTCGGTATCTGGCCAGAGGTAAGCGCCGTAGATGTATCCGATCTGGCCTCCGACGTTCGTCATCGCCAACACGACAGCCTTCTTCTCTTTCGTCTGACTGAGGGTCGAAGACGCCCAACCGATGATGACGGAGTTGACGGAATAGGCGCCCATGGGGAAGATGAAGCAGGCAACATATCGACCCGCTGTATTCATCGTACTGGCAGCGATGACGAATCCGACAATGGCGACTAGCAGTCCACCAGTGATATGCCAGGTGCGCTCATGCATACGTCCTGAACTCCAGCCTGTAGCGATACCTGCCGCGCCGGCAAGCAGGAAGGGAGGGCAGGTCAGTAGGAGAGTAATTGTCGTGTTGAAACCGAGGGTCTTGATGACACTACCATCATTGTCAGCGAACTTTCCTGTGAGTGTTCGAATGTACTTACGTTGGGAAGAAAGAGTTGAACGAGCAAGCACTGAGATGGAAGTTCTGCATGAGACAGAACAGCCACGTCCTCTTGTCACGGCACGCCTGCCTCAGTCCCTCCATCATGCTGACAGGCTCGGTGGAATCGCCAACTCGGTCACGCTCCATACGTGCATGAGCGAGTTCGCGCTCCTGTGGGTTAAGCCAGCTCGTGGTGAGTGGGGTATTGGGAAGCATGAAGAAACCCCAGATGGCGACCAATGCGGTCACGGCTCCTTCGCTGTTGATGAGTTAGCGCGATGTATGTTCAGGCAAGAGAAGATAGACTTTCATGATGAACAGCCATCGCCATCCCGAGATACCTCTGGCGCCATCCAGTTGGAAAACGCCGGCCGCGATCAATCCACTGAAGCCTGTAGCCAGAATCTGCGCACAGTATAGCAACGCGATACGTGTCGCCACTTCCTTCCTGGTGTAGAAGATTGAGAGCATGTACGTCGCTCCGGGGTAGAAGGGTGCCTCAGTAATACCCAAGAAGAATCGACATGCGACCAGTCCGCCGAAGTTCTGAACCAGCGCTGTGCAAGCTGATACGATGGCCCAGATGAACATCCAGCTGCTCATGTAGATACCGGGACGTATCCTTGTTATAAGCATGTTACTCGGAATTTGCATAAGCACATATCCCACGAAGAGACTGCAAGAAGGTTAGCCTGTCCGTCACTTTCGCTCCTCGAGTATGAGCGAGTTGCCGTGTAATACTAACATGCTAACACAAGTGTTGAACTGGACGCCAGACATTCCCAAGTCCTCTTCCAGATTGTTCAACCTCGCTTGAGCGATGGCATTACGATCAACGTAGTTGAGGAAGTACATGACGCATAGTGTTGGCTACGATGACATTAGCAGCCTTCCTACATCTGTATCCGCAATACGTACCATCAGTCTCCAGTCAATCTTCCTTACGAGCGCAATCTCTTCTGGGTCTGTCTTCGCCTCTGCGCCGGTGTAGTCCACAGCACCAGCATGCTTATCTGGACCAAGCTCACTCTTGTCTTCCAAGTGCGCCACGATCGTGGGCTTCTCGTCTGTCGGCTCGACTACGGGTTGGCGTTTTGTATCCATTTTGGCTGAAGCTTTCGAGCGTCTCTCTCGGAAAGGTCAACAGGTAGAACGTACCGGCATGCAGAGGGCATGCGCACTGCTTTTGAATGCATGATGGGTGGCATGGTATGTTCACACGCATGTTCCAATCAACTGCTTGGCGTGGTATTGGCACAGGATCTCACCAAGACTTTTCCCCGCACCGTGCTACAATATAGCAAACATGCGCGCTCCGCTTGTTCAGCCACTAAGCTTGGCCTGCAGATCTTATCGTAATATACGGTCAGAATGAACACTATCCAAGACTTCTCGGTCGCATTTTTGACGCCGATCAGCAGATTGTGTGTGGGATTCCTGGTTCTAGGTTCGCAAGCGGCGCCCTTTGGCTGGGAATCTGGGGAAGAACTGGAGCCGACAACGTGCTTTTTGTGGAGAGATAGCGAACTATTGGCGGCGTCGTTGTGCGCTGTCGCATAATGTGTTCCGTTGGCGGCTGGCGGTAAGTTCTCCAGCTGGGAGGTCATACCGGTCGGAAGCGGTGCAACGGTTGGCGGACGTCACGCGATCGCATATCCCCGTGGTTCGCGCGACTTGCTTTTGTCACGGTGCAGAACATCTGAGCTCCGAATGCGCGCAAACGTAGTATTCTGGTATATAGCCCATCAATCAACTGAACAACGTGCGTTACCTTACTCGTGTAGATGCCCCCGTCTATCCAGGACTCTAGGTGTCACCCCAATTACCCGGAGGTTGATAAGTCACCGTCCCATTCCGCTCCTAACAAATACGGCCGAACTTATACTCCACCTGCCCGTTTCTAATTGCCGGAAAGACGCCAGCGTCGATAAGTCGGAATGCATCCCATTCAGCCGCACCCTCCGTCTTGAAGTTCCACCAGAACCAGCCCTGAGTCTTGCTCTCGAAAGCGGCGATCTGGGCTTCAATGTAACGTCGGCTGTCGTCCTTGTAGGAGGCTGACCACCGTGATAGGTCGTTTTGCCAATCGCAAGATCCAATCCTGGAGCTGCCTGGGAGGGTTCCATCGTAGCGGGCGCCACGGTCGAAGCCGTTGAGGTACTTTGCGCAATCCCTAGTACACGTTAGTAGACGTCTTGTAAACTGTAAGAATGCGGACTGCTCACGTCATAGCCGATGTCCACTCGCCAACAAACGTCCATTTGTCCGCACCGCCGATAGTCTGAGAGTTGCTGCAAGCGTAGCGTGCGTGGTCCGCGGGTGACATGCGGAGGAGATTGCTGTCAAACACTTGATATTCGTGGTGGTCAACCGCGACGTTCACCGCGTTCGCATCCGAAGGAGTGAGGAAGGCGTTCCACGTGTTCGGAGGCTTGAACCCGTCGTGAATGATGACTGGGGTGTCGGAAACCTCACGAACCTGACCGTAACCATCGCGATAGAACTGCCTGGTCACGTCTTCGCTGATGCCAGTGTACAACGCGGGCTCGTTGAGCAGTTGGATACCGACAACGACGTCCTGATACTCTGTCCGAGCATACTTTTGCGAGATTGTCCGTAGAACTTGGACAGTCTGCTTTACGGTGTCACCACGTTGCCATCCAGGGTAGTCCATTCGTTGGCCGGAGTTGTCGAATCCGTTTTGAGAGCCTGGTGCACCATGGAGGTCGATGATGATCTTCAGCCCTAGACTTCGAGACCAGTCGATGGCAGCGTCGATGTAGACACTCGCACCGCTGACGTAAGGTGTACCAAAAGTGTCGTATGCCCAGAACCCGATGGGGATACGAACGACATTGAAGCCTGACTGCTTGATCTTGTTGAAGTCGTGCCATGATACGAACGAGTCCCAGTGCTTGCGTAGGATACTTCCCGCCGCATCTCTACCAAGCTTCTCGCCCAATGTGTATTCGTCAACGATGTCCCTCTGCGGACGGCCTTGGTTCGCTCCATCAAAGATAGAAGGCGTAATCCAACTGTGTAGAGATAGTTAGCAACACAACTGGGTGGCGATTGGTGACGAAGACTCTCGGGAATACGTACGGTTCCAAGACCAACCATCCACCAATGTTAACACCACGAATCTTGTCAGACCCCCACTTGAAGTCGACACCGCGCTTCTCTCTTCAGATGGGTTAGCGGTTGCGTCATATGTGCGTTGGGACGAAAGGAGTGTCGAATGCGGAAGTGACTGCTCTATCGCCGGAAAAGGAAAGACGTTCTCTTCCGCATCGTCCGCGTGACTTACGTTGGAGCTGCAATCGCGGCGGCGCATAGCGATAACGCAGTAAGTGCACGACTGATAATCATGTTGTCGGGTAGTATTGTTGGAAATCAAGGGTAGCAGTACGGGCTCTGAAGATGCGGTGGCGCTCAATCCAAATAAGATGTGATGGTATGTCTGTAGATGGGACCAAGTGAGTGCATTTAACAAGTTGCCGAGCGAACACTGTGGATGCGGCCAAGGTGGAGTTTGCGCGCTTTCCTGGAGGCAGCGAACTCAATGGAGTCGCGACTGCTGTGTTATGGCCATGTGACGGATATCCTCTAGTCCGAACTGGGTATCTAAGTTGGTAAGCCCACGGGTCTCCTGGGTTGTGATTGGTGTTGGACCCTTCGATCTAACTAGAAACGCAATCTGGGGGATTGTAGTGAACGTCTTCCCCCGGAGACGCGGATCGGGACAGAAAGCTACATGGATGACGACGCGGTCAGGAGGCGGGTTTGCTCAGCACGCCGAAGCGCATGTGACGCATTCACACGAATGAACGACCTACATCGCACTCAGATTCTGGTAGCGATGAGCATTCTAAACTAGACATCTTGTAGTGCATGCTCGCACATGAAATGTGACTGCCGTGGAGAAGCCTGAAGTAGAAAAATTTGCCGTGGAGTGATCATCAGCCATGGTGAAATTTGTAGCGGTGTGGGTAGTTGCTTGAATCTGAAACACCTGATCAAGTTGGACCCCTTCTAAAGCACCAAGCGGCTTGTGGGATGCGAGCCTAAAGCGTTCGGAGTAAAGTTAGCACCGTGTGTTAGTACTCAGAGAGGCTGTTCCTGACGATCTTGGAACCTAAGATGCAAGGCATGGACCATCTGACCCCAGATCTGCAGACTAATCTTTTGACAACCTATTACATCGTCGAAGGGGAATCGCAACACGCTCGCCTATCTCCATGCGTTGTTCCAGGCCGTCAGAGGGAACCTGTTGTCAAGCGGGGTTGCGGTGTTTGCTCCGCGCCTCCTATGTCTACTTCTCGGTGCATGACGTAGTGATGGCATTGTATAAGGCTCTCATTAGTGTTCTGACGCCAATGAACTCTGTTGCTGCAACTGCACTGGCGGTGCAAATCTTGGAAAGAGAGTTGTAAAAGGGGTTTGATTGCACGCAGCATGCATCTTCCGGGTGAAGTGGCGATTGGACCTGGACGTGCAGTGATAGATTGGGGGGAGCGCCGGGTATGATGCAGGAGCGAATGCCATCGCCACATGGGAGAGATGGAACCCTGTTTCGGAGACCCAATGAGGCGCTTGACAGCGAGATGCCGATGTAGCGATGCAAGCGGTGGCGAGCGGAGATGGACGTGTGGTGGAAGACAGAAGGGAGAGTGCGATCAAGGTGTGGCGTGGCGCCTCCCGGCCAGTTGCAGGGTCCGGGCGTCGGGCAACAACGGCAGTGGGGACGAAGCCGAGGCAATGACGCCATGTATCACGACTCACAACATGCAGAGTGCAGCCGACTAGATGTCTGTGTATGCGGCCGATGTTCGGAGACACTATCCTATCGACCGTGTCTAGTTCTTTGCTAGCACCCATCCACCTAGCCAGAGAAAACCCGGGACGGCAGTGACAGCAGACAGCGCGCCCAAGACGGCCGCCATAGTCCCCCAGCCGCTGTCCTCCGCAAGAAACCCGGCCAACAGAGGTCCCGCCATGCAGCCGGCAGCGAACGCGGAGTTGTATAGTGCGTAAGCCTGCGCAAATGCACCGCCTTTGCCGAATCCTGGGCGTCCATCTGCGATCATCTTTCTTTCCTTGGCCTCAGCGACAGCCGATACCTCTGCCATGACCGGCGCGAACGTCATGCCTACAAAGAGCCCCGTGACCGCCAGTAACGCGCATAGCAGCACCTTGTCCTTCATCGTGTTCTCATCGACAAACCGGAGGCAGACGAGGGGAGGGCATCCCCCAAGAAAGCCCACGACAACCACATAGCGCCCTCCATATGTGTCACTCAACCAGCCCCACAACGGCGAGAGGAAACTCGGTATGACGATCGGGAGGAAAAGAAGCGCAGCGCCTGTCGAGGACCAGTTGAATGTGTTGGCGGCGTGGATGGCGAGAACAGAGTCGAAGGCCGTCAACAATGTTGCTTGAATGAGCGCACAGAATAGCGAGGCAAGCAGGCGTCGGGAATACAGGAGTGAAAGCACGGGAGGAAGGCGATCGCGCACACGTTGCCGAGGCGGACTTTCTTGGTGCGCTTCAGCAGACTCCGCGTCTTGCTGAGTTGCCGTCCTGGTGAGACCTAAGCTGTCGCTTCGACTTGCGATGGCGATGGAGCCTAGTTCTTTATCCTCTGAGGATGCGTCTCCCTCGCCAGATGAGCGTCCCATGACTGTTGCGTCCCATCTCGCAGCCACCTTCTTCTCCACGAGCAACAGTCTGAGAATCACATCCAAGCCGACTAATGCATAGCACATGCCGAAGACGGCATTATAACCAGCCTTGTCGTAGACTATGCCACCGAGTAGAGGCGATATGAGCATTCCGATAGACATGCCTATGGTCAGCCACCCAGCAGCAGTTGCGAGTCGTTCCTGGGGCACCGTATCAGCCAACAGGGCCAGACCAACAACCCATACCACAGCTGCCGAAGCCCCCTGCAGGAGCCTTCCGACAATCAAAGCTCCAATCGATTTGCCAAGGTTCAGCAGGATTGTAGCTCCTAGGAGAACGAACAAGCCCAGAAGAAGCGGAAAGCGACGCGTCGACCCGCGGTCCGCAAGCCATCCGCATATGGGCGAGAATGCAAGAAGAGCGGCGCCATATACAGCAACCAGTACCGAGACCCAATATTGAACTTGGTCCTCCTCAATGTGACTACGCGAACGTATTGCGAATGGGATGACGGGTACAATGACGCCGTACAGAAACATGTCCTTCTTGAATCAGCTCTTGTTCTGCACCTAGCTACACCGGCATTGAGGACTTACTGTAAAGACGGCCAAAGACACAGTCCCGATGATGAATGCATCCGAGCTTCTAGCTTTGAGCATAAACGGTGGCTTGGATCCATGCTGCGTCAATGACGACAGCCATGAGGAAGTCGACATGCTGTTCCGTGTTGCTCTTACTCGAGGCGCCGCGGAATCTATTTGTACAACAGTTCCCCTATGAGGACCCGGAGCAGTACCACGGTTCTCATGCGGCCCCTCATCTAAACGATCGTCCATGGATGCGAAGATTGCGGTACGACGATCACGTCCACAACATGCGTATCTATCCTCTCTGCTCTATCACTGTCTATCAGCAATGCATGTTGCTGCAATGCAAAAGACTGCAGGTCGATGATGGACGATGCGATGCGATGCGATGCAGTATTCGTGGCGCGTGTGTTGGTGCTCATGTAACGGCTCTCTTCGTGGCGTGATCCCAGCCTCGTTTTTGCCGCGGCCTTGACTAGCGTATTGCCTGCATGGGACCCCCCACCTCGAGACCTCTTCTCTACAAGCAGGACTCCAACTGTCTCGTCGCCCATATGGTGTCATTCAATTGCACTACCGACTGGCCTTTACTTTTCCATGGACGAGTAATGTCCGGCCATGTGTGGAACATCGTGGCAGCCACGGGAGAGCCATATCGCGCCACGTGCCTCAGCTGTGCGGAAGATACATCGTGCCGAAGGAGAACGGGCTGCACGGTTATTTGCTCCGGACCAATGTACGAATGATTCCGATGCTTTTGCTGGTAGAGTGCCGAATCGTCTTGGAGCGCGTGTGAGCAGCCATGATGAACTAACCAGACTATTCAGCAAGGCAAGCGCATGTACTCGTATTGCGCAGCTGGCACATAGCGTACCTGTTGCGAGGTGTGATACAAAACCTGCGTCTATATCTCCATATTGAACAGTGAGTGGATTCTCCAGATATGTACTGGAAGAGCTTGTACCTCGTTAGAATGCTGGTGTGGACGTACTGCGACATTTCGGCCTCAGCCTCGCCAAGTGGGCATCTCTTCCCATTATATATCGATCTCCCTCACTCGGCTCTGTCGGTATACTAAACATTACGATATGATCCATGACATCACCGTTAGTCGGTTTCTTTGCTTCTTTCTGGTCTCCTATCCGCATTGCAATCACAGGTCGCCGAACCTTTCCACCAACAGTCTTGCTTATTCCATCGGCACGTCTTGGAAGCATGTACTTTGGCCTTGCCTTTGTGAATGTGTACATGTATTTTGGATGGACAGCCTGTGAACTTCAAGTAGGGGGTGTAATCAGACAGTATGCCATCACGGTGACTGAAAGGATGCGTTGCGATGGAAGCTGATCACCTCTCGGATTGGCTGGTCAAGCACTCACGTTCTTTCCTTAGCTGTCTCACATACATCGGACGTTTCTAGAAGGAAACATGGAAAGCGGCGCTCTGTAGTCGGGCGGTTTCATGAGTTAACTACCAACTTCACTTTCTACCGGTTCCCGCCAGTGCCTAGCATTGCCATCACATCTCATGCACGCTTGAGGATCAAATGTCCATCCGCGTCAACGAAGTACGAAAAAGAATAACTGGTAAGATTACATTGTCGTAAAATTTTGCAGACTTGCGTTCTGATAGTAACGTCACCTTCAGCGCGCATGTTCAGTTTACCCTCATATGAGGTGCGCCTTCGTGAAGGCCGGTCGAATTTGATTTCATCCATTTAAACGAGCCATGCGATAGCTATTCTAATCTACTTCACACCTCTTTCTTTGGGGCCCCTCGTGGGAAGGGGGCTTACCACCGTTATCTCATTGGCATTATGGGGGTTGTGAGTGACTCGTTGTTTACAGGTCATCGCAGTACCGTGGTTATTCACTTGAAACTCCACTATTACGTCATATTGTGGCGGCCTGGACCTCAACTCGCTTCTCCTATCTGAGACAAGAAGGACATTAACGCACAGACACAGGTGACCCTTGCTCACGCAGAGCCGCAGCAAACTGTCGCATACAGCAACTCGTCCACTAAACCCCGACGCTCAACACCCACGGCTCCTCCAAGATGGTACGATTCAACCCTGCCACGCCTGTTCTAAGCACATGCGCACACCCCGTACCGACCACTCTTGCTTCCAGGCTCCCCTCGCCGCAGCTCTGCCCATCATGCATGATAATTTCACAAGCCCGAGACATCGAGGCTGTACAGGAACAGTTTGATTTGCGCGGTGGTCTTTTTCAGTCCAAAGAAGGCGGCAAAGGCGACCATGCGAGCCCTGGCCACAAGGCCGTCAGAAGGAACTGGCGCAGGGCAAAAATTGCACTGACCAATACTGTGGAATTGTTCGAAGACTTACTTAACGACACAAGTGTGCCAGTCCAGGACCTGACCAAGCTGAGAGAAGCGCTCAATATTTGGAACTACAAGAAGGTCTTGCTGGGTAGAGTGCCGGGTCTAAGATACGTTGACGGTGCAGAGGAGGGAGAGCCGACCGAGTTGGAGAAGGAGGGTGCGCGTTTGTTGATGGTATGGTTGAGAACGGTGATCGAGAAAGAGATGGAAGAAGCGTGGAGAGACGAGGTAACATCATCCGTATCCGCAACAGGATTGAATGAACCGCAGCAGGTGCTCACGATGCCGGAGTCAACTGGATTGGATCCGTTAGTGGAAGCTTTGCGCAGTCAGCCACCGGAGTCTCAGTGGATTTCAGCACCAGAACCGGAACCGAAAGAAAGTTTAGACGCACATCCCACAGCCACAGCGATGACTGCGACCCCGCTAGCATCCCAGCATAACTCCGCAGTCCCCAAATCGATCCTTAAGCGCCTACGCACTCGCACCATTCCAGGCAGCCAATCCGCCTCACCATCGCCTAAACGGGTCCGCACAACAGATTCGGTGACTATATCACCCGAGCATCATTACATCGTCAATCCTTCGCCCTTCCAGCCGCTCTCTCGCAACGCAGTTGTGCTGCCCCACGCCGACCATACACTTGCCGAAAACCATCGCCCGCGACCTAAGTTCCATCGCACAACTTCAGCCTACACACCCGGCGTATGGGCATCGGATGCTTTCAGCGAGAAGGTGAATACTAGCTTCCTTACCATGTCGCGCGAGGATATGGAGAAGCACTACGATGATGAGTCAGCAGAACAAGAGCAGGAGCAGGTGTTGGCGGATAAGCTGAAGGAGACGAGTAGAGGCTGGGTAGCGCTTTGGTGGGCGAACAAGGTTGCTCCGCACTTGGATCTGGAGAAGCTGAAGATGGAAATGCTAGCACGAAGTGGGGAGACGGAAGTGAGGTAGACCACCGTACTTGGCTGTGGTGTGCGAGGGTGTGCGAGGGTGTGCGAAGCTCAGGGTCGTGATTGCCGCTACGAAACTAAGGATTCGACCTTTAGGAAAACACTAGGCTTTGAGACTACTTGGGTCGGGGTGAACATTCTGGGAACTGTTTGAGACGCTTGTATACCCCTAGACATGATGAGTACGGGCGCGCGGTATTGACCGGTTTCTGGGGATCCGGTGCGCCTTCCAAGGTCTGCTTTCTTTTCGTTTAGATGACCTAGGGAGCGAATCCGCCTAGCATTCGTTTCACATGCGAAAGCTCATAAAGCTGCCGAAGGATCGCTGGTGATGGAAGCGACATTTGATTCCAAGCATGAGCGAGGGAGCGCCATAGCGCCGTGTTGGACGCAAAGCTGGGGCGAGGAGATGGGGCAACGCGTCGTCGCGTCAGGCGTTCCTGCCGTAGCGCGAACACCCCAGTCGGGAAGATCTCCGCAGCTACGTCACAATGGCTTTTCTAGAAACCTTAAATGTAAACACTCCCTCTCCGTAGTACATGCATCTCTATTGTAGCGGAGGCCACGAAACGAATCAACATCAATATGCCTGCTACACAACCCAGCGCGAATACAGGTGAGTTCATGGACGCCTCCAGCTAGCTTATTGTGACGCTCTAACCGATTCCACTAGCGCAGGAACGGAACCGAGAGGAGAACAGCGAAGTGGAACTGGGAACAGAATCGGAAGCTGAGAGCTCAGGCGCAGAGGAAACCGACGAAGAAGACCCCGAAGCGCTGCTCGAAGAAGTGAAAGCAGATCAAGCTAAAGAAGAAGCAAAAGTCAAGGCCGCCGCCGAAAAGCTTGGGGACAAAGAGCGCAAAGTAGGTGACATACGCGGAAAGTGGCATCTCTACTCCGCGCAATGGGTGGAAGAATATGCAAGCAAGAAGGACCAAGACCTCGAAGATAACGACTGGACCGACGGTGTCGGAAGCATCGAGTTTGGAAAGCACCTCATCGTCGAAGATTTTGGTCCCTATGCTGGTAATATGGGCATGCAACTCGAGATCTGGGGTGGGCCTGTAGACGCCCAGGCGACCAAGTTCAACAAACCGAAATATACATCCACGCTTCCCGAAAGCGTCCAGCTCTTCGATGAGGGTGAAGAAGACCAGATCTACGTCGAACTCAGGTTTCTCGGAAATGGCTACTTGGAGTTGCACATGGATGGTATCTACTTTGCTGGGATTCTGGTTCAAGATCGGAAAGCTGTGAAGCGCGCAGCCGAAGAATTCGATGACGAGTGGCGAAATTGCAAGTATACCAGGCATACGCACCCGTCGAATATGCTGGCGGCGTTTGGAATGCCCGCTGACTTGGAAGACTCGGATTCTGGGAGCTTTGACGAGAGCGACGATGAGGACGATGACGAAGATGGAGAATGAGAAAGCATGCGATCTCCGAATTTGTATACACTTCAATCTTGTCATTGACGACTTTGTAATATATCCTTTTGGTTTTGTAGTGCGAGGATCTCTGATCGTGAATTCGACGTGTGATGACGACGGGGCGTCGGGCCGAACCCAATGCACTACTCTTGGTAGACCAAAAACAATGCAACGCGTCTCGGCGCGACCCTCAACCCGACCTTGAGCATCACAGATTATCTTTCTCCACCAACGAATCTCCTTCTTCCATCTGCGCATAGACCTGCATAGGCGAAGAATCGAACCGTAATCCTCTCCCTGGAGTGTTCAAACCAGAAGAGCTTTGTTCCGTTTCGGTATGGCGACGTGGCATAGTCACGACGGTGCGAGAGGGTTTGGCCTACATACTGGTATGAT